GTGTGTGTGTGTGTGTGTGTGTGTGTGTGTGTGTGTGTTTTCTATTTCTGCCATTATTTTCTATATAAATGTAGCTTGCATTTATGATTTTTATTTTGAATTTTAGTTTATTAGTAGTAGTAGCAGTAGTATTGTTATTAGTATTATTATTTATTCTGTCTGACATCCAGGAGTCCCGTCGACGGATCATACGGGAGGTCTGCGGGAAATATCGGAGTAATATTTCACGGACGATAACGCCGCATCACGTGTCGCGGATTTACGTGGAGGACCATCATAAACTGCTGTACTGTGAGGTGCCTAAAGCCGGATGCTCCAATTGGAAGAGAATCCTGATGGTTTTGGCCGGCGTCGCCAACTCTACGCGAGAAATCAATCATGTGGCTGTTCATTACGACAATCACCTGAAACGCCTGGACAGCTTCGACCATCAAGGCATCTCTAAGCGCTTGGAGACGTACACCAAAGTCCTGTTCATCCGAGAGCCGATGGAGAGACTGGTGTCTGCCTTCAGGGACAAATTCGAGAGCCCCAATTCCTACTACCATCCCGTATTCGGAAAGCCCATCATCTCCAAATACAGGGTGAATGCATCGCAGACGGCTCTGAAGACGGGAAGTGGTGTGACCTTTCGAGAGTTCATCCACTATCTTTTGGACGTGCATCGTCCCGTGGGAATGGACATCCATTGGGAAGCGGCCAACCAGCTCTGCAGCCCCTGCCATCTTCACTACGACTTCATCGGGAAGGTCGAGACCTTGGAAGAAGACGCCAACTTCCTTTTACGAAAGATCGGTGCGCCGGAGAACCTGACGTACCCCTCGTTCAAGGACGGGAACCCCAAAGCGGCCAGAACTTCTACTCAGATCACGCAGCATTATTTTTCGTTGCTGAACGCGTCTGAGCGCCAGCGGGCTTTTGACTTCTACTACATGGACTACTTGATGTTTAACTACTCCAAACCCTACAAAGACCTGTACTGAAGCTTGTGCTTTAACTGCTGGTTACCTGTGCGCGCTGTCCATCGTCTGATCAATGCTTCAGAGACTAATTAGACTAATCCATAATTACACAGTCTCATCCTCTTTGGAGATTCATCCGTCAATAATCCGGAGCACATCACTCATTTACATAAATGGCTCTTAATTTGCCATTAAAAAGTGTCCTAACCAGGCGTGACTCCACAAGTTACCAGTGACTAACTCATCTGTCTCACTGACAGCATAAATTGAGTGTGATGTTTAAAAACTCACAGCCAACTATCAAATGTTTAGTATACAGAGTCTGGGCTCAATAAGATTTTTTAAAAAGAAACTTTTATTCATAAAACTGATTTTAAAAAAGGCATTTAAAAGATTTATTTTTTAAATAAATGCTGTTCTTTTGAGCTTTCTGTTCATCAAAGAATCCTGAAAACAAAAGTGTATCACAAAAATATTCACAGTTCTTCACATTAAAATAATGGGGAAATTAAATTTTTTTTTTTTAATCTTTTTTGGATGTGAACTTTAACTCTCTCTGTAAATAGTTCATTTATTTTTAATTAATTTGAATTTGGGGAGATTTTTTTTTTTCAACATTATATAG